CTGTCGATGTGAAACTTGCTGCTATTGTTGCAGCTATGCAGAAATGCCACCACAGAAACTGCATTTGAAAGTCTAATATCAGTGCCAGGTCTGCCTGGAGCACATAGGGTTAATCCACACTGCTTTAAGCTCAACAGCTGAAGCTTAAATTTCACTGCTTTTGTCCCAGCAGGATAAAGAACTTTGCCACTGCTCTGGGAGGACACTGATTTCTGTCAGAACTGAATGATTCAGTTGTTTTTATCTTTACCGTCGCCTCTTGAACCTTCAGAGTTTGATGCACTGCCATTTCTTCCAACAATGAAATGGCCATTCAGCAGGTAGTTATGTCATCATCTCAAGTTGCCACAGATCATATTTTCTGCTACCGTAGCCGGCTGTCATCACACCGAGTTTCAGTGGGCTGTTGCTGGTGAGAGCCAGGGGGCTCCCTGCCAGACTAATTAAGATCCTGAATTAGAAACCAGAAGGCAACTGAGAGGCAATATATGCACCACTGGGGGCTGAATGGTTGCATTGCTCCTTTCTCTAGGGATCACAGGACATCAGAAAGCCTCCTAACAAAGGGGTTATGGATTTCAGAGTTAAATAAGATGGATAGATGCAGGAAATCAGGTCAGACGAGAGAGCTGGCACCAACTGGGACTATGTGTGTTTTCAGAAACCGAAGCGGTTGAGTCAGTGTTCTGTGTAGGTTTTGGCTCGTGCATCTTACAGCGATGTACCACGGGGTTGTCTGAGCAGCGTTCCTTTCTGATAAACAGCCCCAAAGCTTCCCATGCTTGTCAGCGCCCAACTAGAGAGCACTGCCAGCCTTTTTTCGTGCCCTCCTCCAACAGAGTCCCGAGCAGCGAGAGACATCCGATGTTATCAGCACTGCAGATTTGCCAGCGCTGCTGCCAAAGGCTTGTCTTATGAATTCACAGTGAAGTACCGAGATTTTTCTTTCTTGCCTTTTTTTATTGTCGTTCCCGTTATGCACACATCACAAAGCAAATTGGACTAGTAAATGTCCGAAAGACAGAATACAGAATTGGCTTAATTTCTGACAATGTCATATTTGTACAAATGTATAAAACCATTTCTGTGCACGCAAAAAGCAAAAACAGACCTTCGTCCTAAATGACTGAACATTTATGGTGTGTCATAACCTGCAGTGAGATTCCAGCCCTGCTGGAAGCTGCTCGCAGCTGTCTCTGACCTATTTATGAAGCTGATGGATGGAAGGTGAAAAGAGCCTTTGTGTGGCTGCCTTTTGTGTTTCTTGGGAAGGTGCTGATGATTTCCTTTCGGATCTTAATTGCTGGCGTATCCATCTTTGCTGTGCTTTAGATCCAGGACGAATATTCCTCTGTAAATGTTCAACAAATTCAGTAATTCTGATATAGGCAGGAGCATGTGGTGTTGTAGTTAAGAGTATTGGGGTTTTTCAAAGTGTTGCATTCATGCAAGCGGCTGTGGTTTTGACCTGGTTAGAGCTGCTTTAAAAGGGTCTAAGAAAGACGCAGTTCAGAAGCAAGGCTGCAGAAATCCTCTCCTCACACTTACCCTCGTTTACAGCAGCAGCGGCTGAATGCAGATGACATCACATCTTTTTTGTTTTGGCTTGACTGCGTGCTGTAAAGTTTTTTGTTTGTTTGCTTGTTTTGCTTGGGGTTTTTTGATGTTGTTGTTGCTGTGGCATAATGCTTAAAGCCAGAGGCATTTATTTAGCTTAGCAGAAATTGCCTAGAGGTCATCAGTTAATACTCGTTGAACTATTTAACAGCTCCAAAAAGTGCTGCAGGGCAGCCTCATTTTACATTATGGGCAAAAGCTTGATGGTTAAAGCCAAATTTGCTGATAATGGCGCAGTTATGTTCAGCTAGCTATAAAGCCAGGGAGTGCAGCAAATTAGAGTTGAATGTTTATGCTGATTAGCCTGGTGAGGTTTTCTCTACAAGAAGCTGATCGCACGGCAGAGAACAGAACAATGCGTTATAATCAGAAAAGGGATGTTTGTTTCGGTTTCATTCATGTGGTCAGGCATGCACGCAAATGCTGGTTAATAAGATATCTGGTAGCTGCTTGTTTACAGCACACACAGGCACCAGCATAGATTAATATTAATGATGTGTGTTTCTGATAAACGTTATTTCCTGTTGCTGTAAATAATAACCGGAGTATTCAGTACTCTCATCAAGTATATTCTGCTAAGATTAGCGCGGGAGTTGCAGGTTAAAGGTGACCTGTTATTCTTGTTATGGCTCCATTCTGTTATCTTTTCTTTAATATAACTCAGCATATGGCTTCGGTGTAGAGCTATTCAATATAACGATATATATCGGATGATGATATGAAAACGTCTATCGTTTCATCTTACGCTTTCGTTTGTTTCATGGTGTCGCAAAATAAACTGTTCACGGCAATATTTTTTCATGGTTTTGATGGTCGCTTTAGTGGCTATATTAATTTCTTAAAGTTCTCCCTTTCTCTTATATTTAAAATATCTACACTACTGATGGTCAAGTGACTGTTTTTATGCATTGTCGTTAGCAAGAACGACGGTAAAACCAGCGTGTGGCTCCGTCATCCGCTTGTTATTTTCCACATAAACCTTTCACAATAAAGCTGAAGATCCTGTTGAGATTTTTTAAAATAAACTGAGATGATGACAAACAGAAAGACCAGTCAAAACAAATCCAGGACCTTATTCCTAAACGAGGGGCTCCCTCTGTAGCATGGACATGGTTTGGTTATGAAAAGTCTGACACGGACCAGAAGATTGTACTGTGGAAATTATGCAGGAAACTGGACCCCATATCAGACTCAAACACATACACAAGAATCACGTGAAAGAGTGTGGAGAGAGTTTACGGATGAGAAGCAAAGAAGAGTTGTCAGGTGCTCCAAATAAACCTTAGACTCAAACGTTAAAACAGGCTTTTCCCAGCAGCACGCCGCGTAATAAATAATCGCAAAGAAAATGGCAGCCATTACAACTTGCATCTTAAAATGTATAGTTTCAAGCATCGCTCAAAACTAGACTCCAGGTACATGACGCCCAGGAAAACACGTCACGCAAGTCGAGTTGCCCGAGATTTACAGATTTGACAGAAAATGTAAATTTTTTGTGATATATATCATTGTCGGGCTGATAAATGTCTTATATCGGGATAACAGTCTTGTAACCTGCTTAGCTCGGAGGTTCCATGCGATTTAAATCTCACAAAATGAGCGATACTACAAGCACAGCAGAAGGGCGGTTTGATGCAAGAAGCATATACAGGCTGCTGACTGGACAGATTACACGTGCTATGTGCAAACCTGCATTCCAGCTATTCATCAAGGTACGATGCCACATGTGTACAACTTCTGCTGACTGGAATTCAGTGATGGGCTTTTGATATTCTTCATCGGGCATGCTCTAAAAACTTAAAATGAGAAGAAATAGTTCTAAAAACTCTCTTTTCCTGTGACTTGAAAAGATTCAAAGTCTGTGTCCCCCAAACTCAAGTGTGAATTTATTCTGAATAGTAGACTTTTTTCTTTCTTTCTTTTTTTTAAACGAATATCAACAACTGAGCTTAAAAAAAAGTGTAGTTCATTTAGTACAGCACCACAAACAGCTGCTGAAAAGGCAAGACTGTCTCAGACTGTTGGAAGTTGTAGACAATTATTAAACAACTGGTTGATTAATAATTTAAATGTTAGTGAAACCCAGGCCCCGTATTAACTGATGAATTAATTGTAGCTCAGCTTGTCTCGCCTTACTGTGTTTACCTGTACGCCTCAAACTCACGTACTGCTGTCCGACCCCACACGCAGACCAAGTCTGAGCCCCTCTCTAAACGTGTTGCGAACATGAGAGTGCAATGACAAAAAGTGAAAGGGTTTAAAATTCTGTTTGTGTTCTCACCTGTCAGCGAGGAAGATAAATTGTAAGCTATTCAAATGTTTTTATTTCAGGGACAGTATACACCCTTTTGCTTAAACATTCACACAGCAACATCAGTCACACACGATACTATCCGGATTAAACAAGACTGCTTCTGTTTCAAGAGTCGCAAAAGCATTAAAGTCATTTCTTTTTCTTCTTTTTTCCTTTTTTTTTCTGTTGTTTTGTTTTTTTTTACTAGTCAGATTTGGTGTGTTACCATGCCACATTAAATGAGCCTCCACACACTGAGCACAGCAGCCCTCAGCTGGGTGTGCTCCGGCTCCGTTGTGTGTGGCCTGCTGCAGTTAGAAACAGGTTGATCTTCTCAAACTAATAGTGGAGGAGAAGTACGCTTCACTAACATTAAGCACCTCCACCCAGTTACTCATTTTCAAGAATTTGTTCAACTAAATTGCATGCTTTAAACTTCATAGTTACCTCAAAACTCCAGGACGTTACTGAAACAAGTGAAGTGGTCTGTTACTTGAATCAACTACAAATATTTAACTGAATAGGAGTTGCGGTGCACAAAAAACAAATGTTGTGTTGTTGCATCATTTTTCACTAAGTTTTTAACTTTAACAAATAACAGGACATTGGCCCTTTTCTCGTTTTCATCTCCACAGTTTTGCTCATTAACTGCTTTAATCTTTTCGCTGCTAATACCGAGGCTCATACTGAGGCTGCTGGCTCTGAGCTCGGGATAGGTTTAGCTAACACTTTAGCTACTTTGCCTTTGTTGGCTTTTTTAAAATCTTCATGTTTATCTGGGTGAGGGTGATTGAAGTAGTTTTGTTGTTTACTTTGGTAAATACTTCACTTACAGTGAAGTATTTCCATGCTAGTTACATATGGGCATGTGGCTGAGTGTGTGTATGTTGTGCATGCTTGTAATAGGACCCCACCTCAGTTTACTGTAAGTTATATCTCAAACTGCCAAACCTCTCTTGGTTATCAGTGTTTTAAATTAATCATGGTCATGTGGGATTGGGGTAGGGAAGGCAACTCCCTTGTTATCTGAGTTTAGCAAAGCAACTACCTAACTCCTGATCTCTCCTTCCTCTGTTTGTGTTTTCTGCAGCAGGTTGGACTCTGCCCCCTGAGATGTTACTGAGCGGTGAGGATGGATCAAAGAAGGAAATCATGACGGTGACGAGCTGCATGCCACCCTCCAAAAACTGCCGGAGTCGCTCCAACTGACACAGATATGCCTCGCCTGCCCTCCTGATTCCTCTTGCCCAACTCTTTATCTTTCCCCCTGTCCAGTCAAAGTCAGTACAGCTCTTCCAAGTCTCTGTCCTGTCAGCATGGCTACACCTTTCCTGTGGAAACTGTCCTCTCAGAAGCTGGGCTTCTTCCTGGTCAGCTTCGGCTTCATCTGGGGCATGATGCTGCTGCATTTCACCATCCAGCAGCGAGCCAGCCATGAGAACAGTGCCGTGCTGCGTCAGCAGATCCTCGACCTTAGCAAGCGCTACATCAAAGCACTGGCTGAGGAGAACCAAAGTGTCATGGATGGTCCGTATGTTGGAACCATGACGGCTTACGGTGAGTAGTCGACTCGCTGACATGGCTGCTCTGATTTTAGCAAACAAGAGCAATCTTTCTACCTTTACTACAGAATCTTTGTCGCCAAATGTGCTCTTCAGCAAGGCCAGGATGCATGTCTCAATCAGTCACAAAATAGTTTGACACATGCTTCCAGAGCTGAACATTTCTGGGACATACCTGACAGTGCATGTCATCAATCAGTGTTTGACCTCTGGAGTATGAATCTCTGTGAGACTGCTGTGATTTGCAAGTAGTCTGGGGCACTTAGTGCTCACAAGGGGTGGGCCTGTACTTGGCGTTATACACACCCTTATTAAAGCTGCTTCCTTGCTTAGACCACAGAGTATTTGCAGAAGTGCAAATGCATATGAAACAGATCGTTTCCTGGTGCGTGGTATGTAAGAGCTGAAGAAAATCATTTGACCTGATTCTCTTGATAGTGCCCCCCATCTCCATCTTACTGATATCGCTCTCCAGGTTTAAGGTTGGGTATGGTTGGTTATTTTAGTGCTGTAAATGTGTCACTTTAAGTGTAAAAGGCCAGATACATGTACATGTTTAAGTGTGAAGCATAGCAAAATTCAAGACAGTTATTTTAGGCTGTTGGCCTCTGTTTCCACATCTTCTTTAAATTGGATGGAATAGTTCCACTTGTCTGCCTCCTGAACAGGTGCAGCATCGGCTCTATTTTTAAAAAAATGTTCGGGAGCTTTAACGTCAATACGGCTGCATTGGAGCATAATACTGTAATAGCACAGGTCCAGAAGAGCCATCAATAAGTTATTCATGCCATTAATAGACCTGTATGGCTCAATGGGAGGCTTCATTAGAAACCTGAGATTGGAATTGATTGTTCTCTAATGCCCAGAGAAACAACAGGATACAGTAGAGCTCCTGGAGATTAGGAACGTGAAGAAGGAGCCAGAGCGAGAAGAGAAACAAGTGCGCTGGTAGCATAGGGTGTCAAATTTCTGCTTCCCCCCCTTTTCTGACACGCATTAAACTGCTTTTGTTTATTTCATGTATTTCAAGTGCATGCAGAATGTGGAAAAAATTCAGGTCCCTACGCAAAACGTCTTCCTTTCCAAATTACTGCCAGTAATCAGGCTCTGCTTAAAACATTTAACTCAGCAGTGTCATCTGAGCTGCTTGGAGGAAATAAACTTCAACATCTGCATTATTATATTAAGTCATTATTATTGCTTGTTTGTGCTGCTTTCATTGCCCAGACTTGAAGTGCATTTGCATGGGACCTATCCTCCTGTAAACTCTGTGATTTGTTTGGGGTAAAGTGGTCTGAGCCCCATCCATAGATTTATTTGTAATACATCAGCCTGTCGTTCCAGGGAACAGATTCCTGTCCAGTTTGTTTTGTTCCCTTATATGATCGATTGATTTTCACACTGCTGTAGCAGTCTGCTGACCGGCGTCCAATATCCCATCACAGTCCATTTCAAGTCCTTGATTAGATAGCCGAGCACTGGGATCCTCTGTGCTTCCTGTGTTTGGCTTGATACAATTCGTAATGAGTTTACTGGGAAACAGCGTTTCCTCCTTTACCACCCATAAATGACCCATGCCATCTTAATGCATGTGGTTTTAATACTGTAACTCCTGAAAGCTGATTTGGGCCACTTAGTTGCTTTTAATGGTCAGGATAATTTTAAGAAACCCACATGTTGAGAAGCATCTAATCAGTGAGTCCAAGCCTTTTTGTACACAGCCAGTCGCTGAAAGATTTCAGGTATTTCTTTCTCTCTGCGGGTGTTTAAAAACATCTTCAGGGTTATATTTAGATTTTTAAAAATCCTGTGCTACTATATGAACTGAATTCATCAACAGGTAAAAGTGTATTTTTAGGAAGATTGAATTAGTGGGGGAGTACTTAGAACCACTCGTAGCTGATTTCCCACATAGCAAGAAAGTCCTGGGTTCACATCATCAGCCGGCTGGGGCCTTTCTGTGTGGAGATGTTCTTCGTGTGACTGCATGGGTTCTCTGTGGGTACTCCAGGTTCATCCCACAGTCCAAAAACATGCTTGTTAGATTAATTGGTGATTCTAAATTGGTCATAGGTGTGACTGTAAGCATGAATGATTGTCTGTGTCTCTGGATTGGCCTTGCATTGAACTGGCAGCTTGTTTAGGATGTAAAATACGTTTCACTGTATGAAAGCTGTGTTAGACTCAGCACCCTGTAACCTTAAATTGAATAAGTGAATGAGAAAGTGGATTTGTGAATTACATTTGAAATATATGGTTCTGATTGGTAGAAATCCCTTTAGTACAAGTATATTGAATTCCCTGTTTTGCTTCCTAACTATAATTTCTTTCAAGCTCATTTCTTCAAGCAACTTTAAAGTGGACATTGTGTTCCTGCTTTATTAAGTCTTCTGTTTTAGTTTTCAGTGTGTAAAATGTTTCAATTATATTTCAGTAGATTGCAGTCAACTGGCTTCGGTTATCTTACATCTCACACTTCAAGTGCATAACCCTAGCTACAGTGGCTGCTACAGGACAAACATGTTTTAGTTATCCAAGAGAGATCAAAACATTATAAACATGTCATACTCCATAGCGCCAGCTGGCGTGTTTCTGCTGCTGTTTGGCCTGGATCTGCCCCAGAGTCAGTCCACCGTTTACCTCAGGTGTCCATGCCAAGTGAGAATCGTCCAGCTTTATTTACTATGGAAGAAGCTTTAAAACTTAATGAAAGGAGTCTGATACAAGTTGAAAAGTTAGACAAGCTCACTTTTGATTTATGACACTGATACTCAAGTGAGTTGTTAAGGATAGGCTGAACTGTCAGTAGCGCTGCTGTTTTCTTTCAACTCATTCAATGTTTCAATTCAACGGCTTGGACAGTCTCGGTCGTTGTGTCCTTGGGCAAGACACTTCACCCGTTGCCTGCTGGTGGTGGTCAGAGGGCCCGGTGGCGCCAGTGTTCGGCAGCCTCGCCTCTGTCAGTGCGCCCCAGGGCAGCCATCACCAGTGTGTGAATGGGTGGATGACTGAACGTGTAAAGCGCTTTGGGGTCCTTAGGGACTAAGTAAAGCGCTATACAAATACAGGCCATTTACCATTTTATTTACCATTTATGATCATGCTAGTAGAAAATGTTAGGTCACTGCAAGTGCAATGAAAACTTCCCATCAAGTGAACATAACGTTATGAGGGATTGAGCAGCTGACAGGGAAAGCAGAGTTTTTCAGTCATGTCATCTCACTTGACCAGCCAGCGTCAGTTTTAAACCTGAATAAAAAGGCTGTTAGAAATGAATATGATTGAATATGAGCTTTACTCTTCCGCCTTTCCAAAACTGATCCATGGAACTGGTTGGAACGATCTGCTGTTACCATGTAGCTATCAAGTTATTGTGGATTTCTTTCATGGTTGGGAAACATATAAAGCTCTTGTGCTCTGTGCTTGGCCCGGCAGCCTCGGTATGTTGCTTTTCTTCGTCCTCTCCAGGATGGTAGGTCACCATGTGCTTCCCTGCTCTTTGCTACGGTCAGTCAGATGGAGCCCACTGCCTGGCTGGATTGAGCTTTTGGTTGTGGATGATAGGAAAGAACAGGGGTTGCTGATAAATGCTTTGGGCTTATGTTTCTGTGTAATCACTTCTTTTTAATATGTCTGTGAAGGTTCTCAGTCCTCCAGGTCATCACTTCACTTCTTTTTAATGCTCACGAGCCTAATGAAATGTCCCAGGTGATTGTGTAACCACATCATTGCCTAGTTTGACACTATTGTTTATAACAGAATGAATTTCACTATGTTTATTGCTGCAGGGTTTGTTTTTGCAAGTGCATCACCGTAATAAGAAGGATGGAGGCCGGCAGAAATGTTTCCCTAGGTGTGCCATTACTCATCCAGCTTACCTGGCAGCACATTTAATGCACACAACGACAGGTCAAAGCATTATTCACAGCAACACACAGCCTGATGAAGGTTTTTGAATCACAATCTCACATTTAATTATAGTGAAGCCTCACGTTTTACTATAGTAATTATAGTGACAGATATTACTTCCTCACTTGATAAATACTCCTATCGATGCTACTCTCCACATTTTACTATAAAATAAAGACATGATGGTGGTTATAGTCACTGATGTTTTTCATTTCCTACTAAGCAGATGTGCTGGTGTTTATTAATGTTCCTCCAGGGTCAAGGGCTGGGATAATCCCCCTAAAGTTCTCAAAGTATTGCAATTTAACTTTCTCAGCTCATGCTATGATCCAACTCGCTAGTGCTGTGATCGAGATTCCTCAGAAATCGGATGTCGTAACCTTTAGTGCATTCCAGAAAATGTCCAAAAAACCCAAACAAACTGAATTTGTTATGGTTCTTACCTGCAGGTGTTGTTGCTCAACAGAGAGGGTATAGCTACTGCCTCTTCCAAATCTAATGATATATGGAAAGTGGCAATTTTTATGCATAGAGTCTGATTACATAGTCCACCGGCTTTGTGTAAGCTGGGGCTGTTAGTTTTCTGGAATAAAACCAAAACAAAACCAAAAAACAAAGGATAAGATCATTTGAATACGCTTTAAAAAAAAAAGGAATGTTAACTGTATCCTAACTTCATCAAAGCAGTCTCATCTTGACTCGAGGTTGAAACAGTTGCTTTAACAGTTTGGCAAATCCCATCAGCATCAGACCTAAAGCAGCCAACTACAGGGAGTGCAGAATTATTAGGCAAGTTGTATTTTTGAGGAATAATTTTATTATTGAACAACAACCATGTTCTCAATGAACCCAAAAAACTCATTAATATCAAAGCTGAATGTTTTTGGAAGTAGTTTTTAGTTTGTTTTTAGTTTTAGCTATTTTAGGGGGATATCTGTGTGTGCAGGTGACTATTACTGTGCATAATTATTAGGCAACTTAACAAAAAACAAATATATACCCATTTCAATTATTTATTTTTACCAGTGAAACCAATATAACATCTCCACATTCACAAATATACATTTCTGACATTCAAAAACAAAACAAAAACAAATCAGCGACCAATATAGCCACCTTTCTTTGCAAGGACACTCAAAAGCCTGCCATCCATGGATTCTGTCAGTGTTTTGATCTGTTCACCATCAACATTGCGTGCAGCAGCAACCACAGCCTCCCAGACACTGTTCAGAGAGGTGTACTGTTTTCCCTCCTTGTAAATCTCACATTTGATGATGGACCACAGGTTCTCAATGGGGTTCAGATCAGGTGAACAAGGAGGCCATGTCATTAGTTTTTCTTCTTTTATACCCTTTCTTGCCAGCCACGCTGTGGAGTACTTGGACGCGTGTGATGGAGCATTGTCCTGCATGAAAATCATGTTTTTCTTGAAGGATGCAGACTTCTTCCTGTACCACTGCTTGAAGAAGGTGTCTTCCAGAAACTGGCAGTAGGACTGGGAGTTGAGCTTGACTCCATCCTCAACCCGAAAAGGCCCCACAAGCTCATCTTTGATGATACCAGCCCAAACCAGTACTCCACCTCCACCTTGCTGGCGTCTGAGTCGGACTGGAGCTCTCTGCCCTTTACCAATCCAGCCACGGGCCCATCCATCTGGCCCATCAAGACTCACTCTCATTTCATCAGTCCATAAAACCTTAGAAAAACCAGTCTTGAGATATTTCTTGGCCCAGTCTTGACGTTTCAGCTTGTGTGTCTTGTTCAGTGGTGGTCGTCTTTCAGCCTTTCTTACCTTGGCCATGTCTCTGAGTATTGCACACCTTGTGCTTTTGGGCACTCCAGTGATGTTGCAGCTCTGAAATATGGCCAAACTGGTGGCAAGTGGCATCTTGGCAGCTGCACGCTTGACTTTTCTCAGTTCATGGGCAGTTATTTTGCGCCTTGGTTTTTCCACACGCTTCTTGCGACCCTGTTGACTATTTTGAATGAAACGCTTGATTGTTCGATGATCACGCTTCAGAAGCTTTGCAATTTTGAGACTGCTGCATCCCTCTGCAAGATATCTCACTATTTTTGACTTTTCTGAGCCTGTCAAGTCCTTCTTTTGACCCATTTTGCCAAAGGAAAGGACGTTGCCTAATAATTATGCACACCTGATATAGGGTGATGATGTCATTAGACCACACCCCTTCTCATTACAGAGATGCACATCACCTAATATGCTTAATTGGTAGTAGGCTCTCGAGCCTATACAGCTTGGAGTAAGACAACATGCATGAAGAGGATGATGTGGACAAAATACTCATTTGCCTAATAATTCTGCACTCCCTGTACACTGCACTGATTCAAATTTAGTTTGAAGTCAGATTTGTATATGTGTCAGGGTTTTTACAGAGCATCTAACCTTTTACATGCGGAATATCACATTGAGCTCCATTTTTCATTAAATACAGTAAAGTGAGCACAAACCTTTGAACATTTTGCTCTGTCAGCCGTGACAGTAGAGCACAGAGAAACATGGCAACATCAAGAATAATCCCTCGACCCTAAGTGTCATTACCAGTGACACTTAGGAATTTTAAAATGTCAGCTATGTTGGTATCGCATATATTAACATTGCATAAATATCAATAGCTGTACCTTTTTGTCTAGGTGTCTGCGTGTGCCTATTTAATACTGGTTCCAGTACTCATGCTTAATGCTAATAAACACAATTGGTAAATTGGTACTGGCTTGCTCAGGTAAGTCTGGTTTAACTGGAGTGACCATGGACAGTGTTTGGACTCTTGTTGTGAGGAACATTTAACATATGCACACTATAACTTCATACATCTGTCACATAAGCTAGAAGTTTCTATCTTTTGCTCTCCTATTGGAAAGACGTACCAAATGAAATTTTAAACAAGTCTAATGAATCTCTGTGTTATTCGGCCTGAAGTCAGAAGGCACAGGGCTCTGTTTCTGGGGTGAATATATTATGTTCGGCCCAATAGCTTGGCATGGCAAAGCTTTCTGTTTGGGTTCTTCCTGGTGTCACCGAGCTGCTCTCTGTACATCTGCTCCTCCCAGCATACCTCGGCTCGTCCAAATCAGACAAATGCTCTGGCCTTTCCCTTCACACGAAACATACTGGTGGTGCTGTGCCAGGCCTCGTTGTCCTATTGCCAATCTGTCTGACGTGATGAAAAATGGCGTGTTAAATGCAGCATGGCGCGGGAAAAAGTGGTGTTTACATGTGACAGACAAGCAGCAATTACCATCTTCTGAGTAAAGCAACCCTGAGTCATTTTGGATTAGTTCAGTAGATATTTAAGCCAATATACAAATAATATAACTGGCTATGGCTTTTAAGAGTATCTCAGACCTTTTCTCTCAATGAAAATTAGCAAGCGTAGGCGTTTTCTCTCTGTTAACTACATAACATGACATTTAAACTGTCGCTAATATTCATTTGTGTTCCTGATGTTGCTGCATTTAAGTTATCTTTATGTAACCTCTCTTAGCTTTGCTGGCTAATATAAATAACAACTGTTGGCTGTAGCTTCAATGCTATCATTGTTTGCATAGCTGTGTAATGGCCTTTGGCTCCATTGGTAGTCATTAGCATAACCTTTTTGAGTGGATGTATTCATAGAAGCGGACTTGCGTCTGTTACCTATGTACCCTTGCTTTTCAATGGTAGGGGATACTCTGTGCTCTGAGTAGCATTTCCAGCAGCTTTACACAACTTAACATTTCTCTGTAAATGCCAGTGCATTTGTTACAGGTTAAAGTATCAAGACAAGTACCTTGATAAATGGGTCCAAAAATACAGTATTTAAGCATTGTGACTGTGCAAATATAATCTAAATATGGCCTCATCTATCTGGCTACTGGTCAGGAACGTTCCTACATGTTCTGCATTTTGCCATGGTTGTGTTTTATGAAAGTAAATTTAGAAAAGATTTACGTGGAAATGCAAAGACCCTCACAAAACTGGAGGAACAGGAAGTCATTTGCAAAGACTCGGGTGCTCCCCATTAATATTTAAATGAGCCGGAAGCTGGTCCCTGAAGCCTCAAGAATGTGTTGTTGTAGGGCCTGAGCTTGTCATTGAAGCTGAAGCTATTTATTGTCAGAGATAGCTGAGCAATTTTCCTCAGTCAGTTCCATGTGGGGACTTTTACAGAAAGGCAAGCACTACTTGCCTTGCTTGTCCTGACTGAATACCACTGCTCATACTACAGATGGCAGCTTTAATGGCACGTTTGTGTCGATTTCTAAAGAAATATCACAATTGACCAACCATATTTGAGCTGGTTTTTGCTGCAAACGAATAAACAGTGTTTGGAGTATGTGGAGAGCAAAAGAAAGAGAATGTAATCTTGAAACTACTATCCTTTCCGTTTTGTGGTAATTAAGCCGTAAAACATTGAACTTAACATGATACAGAAACACAAGGAAACAAAGAACGCTGGGTCAAAATGACCCAGGACCATGATACTTAAGCTGGAGACCCCAAATTTAAAACAAAAGCGTTAGGACTTTAGTCAAAATCCTTCTAGGAGCAACTTGTGCCACTTGGTGACTATCTCACACTCAGATGGCAGCTGGCGGTAGTAGTCCTTGTTCTGCTTCGTTGAGCTCCATGAAGCTACACGTGAACCACCTTGCACCAGAGCAGAAGAAGCACTACCATCTCACAGTGTTGCTAGCTACAGTCCAAAGTTACAGCTTCTCTTTCTCATTCCACAAGAGCACTGAGCAAATATCATATTTTATAGATTGAGTAAGTGAAAAAAAATCAAAGATACACTTGCCTACGTCTATCCCGTAGTACCAGTATGCCTGCCACTACACAGCTGAAACCTCAACTGTGCAGTTGTACCATTAAAGTAACTGGTTTTCTGGAAACAGGGGCAAGATACGTGCCAACTTTGGTTTTATAAAATTCTCAGAAATTTCTAGCCTGGTTTTTATTCCTCTCCCTTAAAATGTTTGCTTTAGTCACACAACACTTTCAGCTTTTAGAAGAAATCCCCCATCGATGCCTTTCCCACCACTGTTTAGATTAAAGGTTGATTTTGACAACTTAAGCTCTTTGACAACTTAAGCACTCTACTCCAACTCATGGACCTGACACACCGCTTTTTTTTTTGCTGGAGAGAAATAAAATTTAACATTCTCATTTTGCAGACCTGAAGAAGACTCTCGCAGTCCTGCTGGATAACATCATGATGAGGCTGGGCAAGCTAGAGTCCAAGGTGGAGAACATCTACAATGGCACAGGGCCCAACCTGAGCAACGGCACCAGCACTATTACGCCCAGTGCTCCAAACTCAGAGAAAGTAAACGTGGCAGGTATGTGCGGCAGTCTTCTTTCGCTTTGGAATAGAGTGTTTGTGTGCATGCTGTGCCAAGGTGGGGGGCAGTCTAAAGGATTTATTTTGTATTTGGATTTGTAAATGTTATCAGTACAAGCTTAGAATCAGACACCTTCCTGGCTCCAGTGGTCATTGATCCTGTGCCACTTAGAAAGACTATAAATGTCTCTGTGCACTCATCCTTTTAGAAGTGTTTGATACATACACAGTACTGAGAAATGGGAATAAGCTGATTGTGGCTGTAGAAAACTTCTTTAAAACTACTCTAGTCAATATCTTTCCTGCGGCATGCAGCTAGCTAAACTTTCCCAGTATTGCCACTGCACTTGATGGGTCCAGACCGCATCCTTGGACTTGATTCAAATAAGGCCTGTGTTCACGCTGCATGACCCTTTTATTAGTTTTCATTGATTTTCCTGCCAGCTTTCAGATGATGAATTCAGCCCAGCTGAGAGAATGAGGTGTTGGTTTTTCTGAGACCCCTCTGAGGGACTTGCTCTCAGTTGTTTGCGCAGCATTAAACAGTAGGAATGTGAAGCTGCACAGCGAAGCAGTATGTGCAGAATTGGATTAGACTGATTGAGATGTTCAAAGAAACACTGGCATTAGTGTAATTCTAATGAGAACTGCTGTGCTGTGCTGCCGCCATCATTTTGGAAGTGCTGATGAGGCCTTTGTGAATTTGTTATTTCACATGACAAAGGACGGTAAGAATACGACAAAATTATGTAGAGTTGAATGAAAGTGTGAGTGTTTGTGATGAAAATACCTGTCAAGGATATAAACAGGCCACTCACTCTTATAGCAGTGAATTCAAAGAGATACAGTGTAGAACATTTGAAAGGCAACACCGAGTAAATTACATGACCAAAGTGTGTGAAATGAATGTATATTGTTTTCAGAGCTGCCCAAGGAAATTAAGTTCTAGTCATATATACGGGCAGGGCAGTTTCTATTAGAAAATTGAAGCCGTTGAAGTTTCCTCCAGGGAAGAGAACATAGATCACCTGCCCACAGATCTAAAAGAAAAGGCAGCGTCGCATTAAAAATCTTATGGCTGAGTAACTAAACAGATTAATTGTTTTTTATTTTGTTTAAAAACTGTTATTTCATCTTCTTTTTCTTTTTTTTTTTGCTTTAACTATATTCGATAACTATATATGTAACCACCCTGCACAGGCCTGTTGTGAGCCGCGGTAAACCTTGGATGCATCATTATGAAACAAATGCAAATTTAAAAAAAAGAAAATGTGATAATGAAAAAACAGTAATCAATATAGTAACGGTTCCAGACGGTGTCCGACTTTTAGAATTGCTCAGTAAAAAAAACAAACCCTCACTTTCTCTTCCTGTTTCTGTGATATTCAAAGCCTGCTTTGCAGTCGTTCTAATGCCACATCTTTTCACCTACCTTGGTTTGTTTGCCTGGCACTAAAGCAATATTCTGCTCTTCTTTAGCATCTTTGGAAGGTTGCCTTTGACTGTACCTCTATGAGTTCTCTGCTCTTCCACTAATAGAAACGTTTGTACAGTGAAATGACTCAAAATGATGTGATCAAAAGCCAGAGTACTCTGGGCTTTAAAAAAAAAAAAAGACAGGGATCGTTTTAAAAGAAGCTGTTATAATTGTTAGTGAAGCCGAAATGTTTGACTCATCGGTTGATTTAGTTGATAGTTGATATTCAGTCGATCAAGATTGTCAAGTTAGTGTTATGCATTGAATCGTCTGGACATCTTTCAGTTTCTTGACGACGTTTCACCTCTGATCAGAGAAGCTTCTTCAGTTCTGAAGCTTCTTGGATGAGATGTGAAAGATGTCCAGATGCTTTTCTTTCCAAGCTCCTTAGACCAGGAGTCATATTGTTTCTCATTCGGGAGCGGTTTTCAGTAAGCGTATTAAAACCATTGTGCATATTCTTTCTCATGTTCAAAATAACAACAGTGTTTTTTTGTTGTTGTTTTTTTACTTGGGGTAACAATACTGCAGTCTGTTTGGGGTTGCATAAGGTTCTGATCTGCAGTTACTGTGTTACCTGTAGCTGATGGCAGTATTTACACCCCCCACCTGTACAGAAAATAAAGCCGTACTCTGCTGTGGGCACGGCTGGCAGCAAAATGAATTTTAGCCACCAAACAGAAGGAATCGATATCTGTTTTAGTGGATTCTATATTTAGAACATTTTCACTGCTTCACCTGCTGTCAGACGGGCCTTTACGACGAGGAAGCAGAGCTGTTACGCTCCACCAGACTCCATTGACAAAATGAGGAAATTCGCCTCATAAAATATTTGAGCTGTCTGCTGCTGCTTTGATTGGTTATTTAGTGGTGTATTTGAATGTACTCGTCAAATCAACAGTGAAAGTATCGAGCAGCGCCAGATTTCTGTGAAATAATAAAAACCCCACAAAAAACTGGTTTTCGCCAGACTGTGGCAAAAGCCGCCACAGTCTGCTGCAAATCAACAAACTTTGCACCTGTTGCCCCAGATTAAGATTACATAAATGTGTCCTGTCAAACTTTATTATATAAATTTATATCCATTGTTGAAAGAGCAGCACTGTCTTGCTCTGTGAAGTACAGATGGAGACGTAATACAACATCAAAGCATAACCATATCAACAATATTGTCCCATTCCATCTCCATTATGAAGATATATCTATGCATTAAAATATGTAATTAAAAACAAACACACAAACAAAATGTAATATTATGACCCAGTCCTAAATTTGAGCATAAAACCTTGTCATTAATTACAGCTTAATTACATTTTTGCAAACCAAGGAATTAGCAGATTAATCAGTAGCTAATTGCAGCTGTGGCTGTCAGATAGTGAAGAAAAAGCTTACATATAATTACATGTAAATGGAATAAAAAAAAATAGATGTAATATTTGTAGAGGTTTATGGAAGGCTAGACTTCTTAGATGGAGCGGGTTTTGTGACATTAGATGGCGGTTAATGAGCCCCGCCTTTGCAGGCAATCGTGATAAAACATTGTCAGAGCACTCTTGGCTTGAACTGCCCTGTTCCACAAAAATCGTAGCTGGACCTGTGACTCATCTCAGTGAACTTGCAGTGGCCTGTTGGCCTAAAACAACCAGTGGCACCCTTCAGAGACATCTGGAGCCTGAATGTATGTCAAAGCTGACAAAGCTGCACCAATGTCTCTCTTGATAGTTGAACTAAAGGCCCCAGCACTCCAGAGCCTCCATTGGAGCATGTCCTCTGTCTTGGAGCAGGGGCAGTGCTGTTGCCAGCTCCACCGGTGCTCCTCCCTGACTGGAACGCAATTACAGAGATAAGAATCTGGACAGTGAGTGCAACACGCCTGCCTTTCAGGGAGGCTGCTATCAAGATGGAGCTGAGCAGCAGCTCTGGGACTGCGCCGTTTCCAATGGAAAGAGGGAACAGAAAAGAGGCGCATAGAGAGACTACAAACCAAAACTACTGGAGTGAGGAGTCTTTAACTCCTCACTCCTTTAAATCTCACATTGCTGAAATAAAAATGAACCAGGGCTTTAGCCACATAAGGCCATGAATGATTTGCATACAATGCTGGTAGTTCCCTGCCAACTGTTTAGACATTGTGAAGAGCTCCTTCTGTCTTGAGATTGCAGCTGCCTTGCGTTGTGTGTTGTACAAGTTTCATTAGAGGTTGAGGAATTACATTAACATGGTACGATTTTTCTTCAGCCAAAGACAACGGGCACAGATGTCTGTTATGGTGGCCTTTAGATTGCTTCTTAGCAGTAAGCAGATGGGGCCTGGTCAAACTGCATGTGATGCCATGTCTCACCACGCTGTTGCTAATGTAGCTAATCAACCTCTCTAACCATGTTTCATCCAAAGTTCTGCCCCTGGCATGGAGTCTATGTAATCTCCTTCTTCACACACACACACACACACACCAGGCATAGAGATAGATGTAACGAACGGTCAGGTGGTGATTTGCAGCATCTAACTCTCCCACGACTCTCACTTGTTCCGTTTCATTCCCCCTGCGATGTATTTCTCTTCCCTTTGCGAGTGTTTAAGGTTATCAATGTCCCTTCCGTCTCAGCCACACCACTGGTGATGTTTGGCTGATTTGCAGCTCGCCGTCTCTCAGACGCCGGCGGCCAAACAGAGATGCTTGCATTCACCGCTCGCGGCATCTTTGCCGCTTTGTCTCTTTCAGCTATCGATCGGCTTGATTTTCTGTTTAATGTTCTCAGTGAAAGATGAGATCCAATTCTCAGTATCAACAAAGGAAAGAGACGAGGATAGTGCTTCTGCTGGGAGTTGCTGGTGGCTCTCTCACTGTGCCTTATTTTCTCTTTATTCATCTGCTCGATATTCCTCATTTTCCAAAGCCACTTGTGTGTCCAATGTACCTCACAACAGGACCTCACTATTATCAGTTTAATAATAAATACATTTTTCTACTTGGGTTTAGATTAGACTGGATAGCATCTTGTTTTTGAAGGCCTGGATTCTCGGTGTACAGATGAAAACTAATAAAATACACATGCAATTCAATTCATTGCTAATAAGTTGCAGAGAGATGCTATCCACTCCCACACACTAAAATCCTCCCACGAATCCTGACTTTCATCACCCTAAAATCTTTGAATGTTGCATAGCAGCATAAACGAAACCAGAATTTGAACCATTGCTTTTACAGCTGTTGGATCTGTGTTGTATTTCTCAGTGTTTTAGTTTCGCCCTTCAGTGTTTCTTACAGCTTTACTTTCTAGTTGTGGTTGTGGCTGTCAGTACTCTGCTCTAAAGCCTTGGTATAGCAGCACATTAAGCAGTAAGGGTGGCTTTGCAAGTTAGTATCTTATGTCTTACAGTGTCTCACAGGTTAGAGTGGACATCGATAAATCTTATAACAGAAGTGCTGAAGACTAAACTTTAGCGTTTAAAAACCTAGCATCATCGGTCTTGACGTACCATTCAGTCTCACCCATTCTTAATTCAGTCATTCACCAACC